ACCCGAATCTGATGGTATCCGGACCGGAGATCAATCTTGGAATACACACATGCACCCCTGAGCTGATCCAACAGATCATCAATCCGAGGAAGAGGATACTTTTTCTTGATTGTCACCTTGTTCAACTGCCTGTAGTCGGTGCACAATCGCATTGTCCCGTCCTTTTTCTTCACAAAGATAACCGGTGCTCCCCAAGGAGACACACTCGGTCTAATGAAATCTTTCGCCGAAAGATCCTCAATATGCTTATTCAGCTCAGCCAACTCCGGTGGCGACATCCGATAAGGAGCTAAAGAAATCGGCCCCACACCGGGCAACAAGTCAATGGAGAACTCTATCTCCCGCTGTGGCGGAAACTCAGGAATCTCCTCAAGAAACACCTCAAGGAACTCCCCCACCACAGGAATGCCAGTGATATCCTCCTGTGTCCCGCTCACCAAACCACCCAACATGACATAACCCAATGCCCCTGCTCGCAGCGCTCTCCTAGCCTGCAGCAGTGAAATGTATGGCGAGGAACTAGCTGTGGAATCACACGGAGACATCACCACTCGCTTTGCACAACAATCAATCAAATAACAGTTTCTAGACAACCAATCCATGCCCAGAATAATCTCAAGGTTGGCCATCGGCAATCCTATCAGATCTACCAAGAACTCACGGCCATCCCACTGAAACGCTACATCGCGATGTACAGTGGTAGAATCACAAATCTCTCCGGTGGCGGTAGTCACCCGCAACGGTGGAGAAAGCACAACACTGGGCACTCAAGCCCCAAAGCAATCGGGGTAGCAACAAACGAATGAGTAGCCCCGGAATCAAAGATAGCATCCACAAAAGAATCACCAATATACACAGTACCTCTGACAAGGTTCGGAGCGCGGTCCGACTGCTGCCTATCTAGTGTATACACTCTCCCAACAGAAGGTGGCACTGCAGGTGCCGAAGAAGATGCCATCGGAACCATCTGCAAAGGAACTGCCTGAACAGCTGCAGCTCTTGCCGTCGAAGACGGACAATCTCTAGAGAAGTGGCCCTCCTTGCCACACTTGAAGCACAACAACTGCCCCGTAGCACAGCGTCCCACATGCTCCTTCCCACATCCCGAACATCTCGGAGTGGTAGGAGGCCTAGCAGAACTCCCCTGATGTGAAACAGCTCTCTTGAACTGACCAGGCGCCTGCCTAGTCGCTAACTGCTTTCCCTTGCCCTTATCAGCAAACCTCCTGTCCTTCCAAGAAGTAGGAGCAGGAGTGGAACCACCTGTTCCCTTGCTCTCCTCAACCTTGGCCCTCTTGACCTTGCTTGCCACGCAAACATCCTCGATGTCCTTACACTGCTGAACCAGTGTACCAAAGTCCCTCGAAGCAGCACCAGCAAGATGCTCAGCAATCACCTCACTAAGTCCCCTGCGGAACTTAGCTGCCAGAAATAACGGAGTAGGAGGAACCATCCGGAAGTGTGCAAACTTCACTAGCTCATTAAACTTAGCCAGGTACTCAACAACAGACATCGAGCCTTGTACCAAACGATCAAACTCTCCCTGCTTCCTCTCCTGCGCATCATAGGGAAAGTATCGGCCCAGAAAGCACTCCTCAAAGAATGGCCACGTCATGACACGGCCCTGCCTCTCAAAAGCACGAGAGGTGTGCGTCCACCACTCATGGGCATCGCCCTCCAGCATGTAGGTCGAGAACATCAGCTTCTGTGGGTCTGTACACTGCATAACCCGAAAGATCTTGTCCAGCGACTCTAGCCATCTAGCAGCAGCAATATGATCCAAAGACCCCTCAAACACAGGTGGCTTATGCTTCCTGAAAGCATTCAGCCGGCGATCGATCACATCACGATCCTCAGCAATCCCCACAAGGGGCTCCCCCGTCTCAGCGGCATGAGTAGCACTGTCGATGTGACTATGGCTCTCCTCCTGAACACTAGGTGGAGGCGGTGGCGGTGGCGGCGGTGGTGGAGCCTGGCCAATAGCAGGACCAGCTCTCATCTCCTCCAACATGACTCTCATCATCGTCATGTTCGCCATCCTGTTCGCCTCGAGGACTTCCTCAGTGGTCCTCCGGTTCGCTTCACGAACCTCAGCTGCGGCTATCCGGTTCGCCTCGCGAACAGCTTCCATCATTGCCGCGTTGGCCACTCTAGCGGCCTCCTGATCGGCTAATCTAGCCGCCTGCATCTCAGCCAATGCAGTCAGGATAGGATCAGATTGATCCTCAGAAGTCTCTCGTGTTCTCCCGGACCTTACCATGACTCTGCACAAGTTACACAAATTATGAGTTGATCAGGCCCACGCAATGTGATCACATATACATCATCATAATAAAATTCGACGGAGTAAACACAAAGACAGACACAACCAAACAACCTAGCAATTGCAATACATACAGGCTTTTCCCTCGAACCATTGCTCTGATACCATAAATGTAACACCCCGTATATATCCGGTAATGTTATCATAATATCGTATTAAGCTGCGCTTAATTAAAAATGCGGAATTACTTTTTCTTTTCAATTATGATGCTATTAACATTACCAACTTACTTAATAATCAATTAATAAAACATCGCCTGTATGTAATTGCAATAAAACAGCTAACTGAAATACCTCATAACATAGATAATATAATTGTGGCTCTAGTCACGGAACTACAACAATGTAGACCGGACCATCTAACAGTTTATACAACTCCAAACTACAAGTACTAACAGAAAGTGTCATGGACAATCCCCATGCTCACTCAAATAAGGCAACATGCCCAACATCAGTCTCAACAACAACATATCATAAATAGCGGAAAACATAAACAACATCCAAATCCAGTCATGCTATCATATAAGCAGAAACAACATAATCAGCTAAGCTCCGGCCTCCTGCCGCCTGAGGCATCAGTACTCATACTACCTGATCCTGAAATAAGCATTCCCCAAACGTGGGGTAAGATCTCTAATCTACAAATCTCAGTAAGTCAGTGAGTCCTCAAGGATCTTCCACCCCAAGCTCACTTACATGTGCAATATAAGTTCAAAAACAGTTTATCATTTATCATTTCTAAAACAATGCAATGCAGCAGATAATCATGTCATGTGTGTCAATACTAATCTACTGGCCAAAGACAGTGCAGGTATACGTCTATCACCTACACACCGTGCAAGTACCACTTGCATTCACCCCGGTACACCATCTTGTATGGCGCTACATACTCAGGCTTCCCGTCAAGATGAAACAACACATGCATATTAAAAGCCATTACATGTAAAGTTCAATCAACATATCAAATATCCAAAAGCATGTACACAGCATGCATAAACCATACCCCCATGGGACATGGTGGAACCACAACATGGCTAAACCGAGGACACGAAAGCTTACCTTGCAAGCTAACTCCAAAAGCCAAGAGTCCACAACTCAAAGTCCAAACACAGCAGATTCATAATCTATTATGGACCAACAATACATCAACAACATGCACCACAAGCATACAATATTAAGAAAACGCCTTTTCATTACGTTTTCAAGTCTTAAAGCTTCTAACAAAGCCACAAGCCCTTAATCCCATGATTCTGGCTTAATCCATTAAATACAGAAGTTCAACTTCATCAAACTAGGGTCCAAAAACCCCCAATAGCCTACTGTTCACACAGCACATCTGCTGTTCTATGAAATCCCAGAATATCCGGATATCTCATTGTTCATATCCGGATATGCAATATCCGGATATACAGATTCACATATCCGGATATCCCAAAACCACGTATCCGGATATCCCAAAACCACGTATCCGGATATCTAATATCCGGATATCAGTTCGACAAATATCCGATATCTCACGACAGAATGCAGTTTCTGCATTTTCGTGAAGATATCCCTTAAAGGTTCCCTTTTTACCGATTTTAAACACCTAATCATGCATTTCTAGATGTGTTAAGCCTCACCCAACAACAAGTTATCATCTTTTAACCTTAACATGCATCAAGCTTTCATTTTTAAGCATTAAACTCATGATTAAAGGTTGGTATACATACCAAAGGCCAAAACAGAAGAAGAAGCTGCTCTTTGGAGCTCACAATCAGCCCCTCAAGACTGACTCAACAAGGTGCACGAAAATGGATCAACAAGCTTGGACCTTTCAACACAAAGGAAGCTTCTTGGACCTCACAATGCCAAAAAAAAGGCTTCCACACACAACAAACCCAAGTCAGCCTCAAAACCTCACACACAACAGCTCTCTCAACTCAGAAAAGACCAGCAATAGAGTCCCAAGGCTAGCTCTCACCCTCACCAAGTGTATCCCAAGTGAAAGTGTGAAGAAAATCAAGAAAGGAAGTGTCTTGGACCCAAAATGGAGGAGAAACCCCACAAGTCAGCCAAGCTGATCAGCCACCCTCACACACTCACGTAGAGAAACTGTTTTCTAGGGTTTTGTGCCCTTACAAAGGGTATATATAGCCCAAGCCACTTAAACACACACTGTTAACTTTAATTGTTACGCTTAGGATTTTAATCCCAAACTTTGGATTCTGAAACTACATAATTTTGTAAGATTTATCATATTTTTCTTATAATTTTCTGAACACTTTTCCGGTACGCGTTTTTCCAAGCCAGTACCGGTTTCCAGCACCAGTTCTCATTATCTGGACTTGAAACTCGTTTTACAAGTCCTACATATTATTCTAGTAATTATCATGCACTTACATTAATTTTCCGGGATACTTTTTTGGCACACATTTATACCGACTAGCAGAACCGGTATCTGCACTTTTCTTCCGAAAAGCGACTTTCAGCATTCTTAATCACTTATTACGATTATTAAGCCTCATAAATAATTATTAGGGTTAATTATGGAATCATTTCCTAATTTTGCATAATTAATTAATTAAATACCTTAATTAACGGTGCGGGTTCTTACACCTTGGGTTGTGTTGGGGGATTTTAATTCGGTTCAAAGTGTGGATGAGAAAATTGGGGGAAAAGAAGCTTGCTGGAATAGTATGAGGGATATGAATCAGTGTTTGTCTGGTTGTGATCTCGAGGATATTGGGTTCAAAGGGCCTGACTTTACTTGGAAGAGGGGCAAAATGCAGGAACGAATTGATAGAGCTTGTGCAAATGAGGCTTGGAATTTATTTTGGCCGAATAGGTTCTTGTCTCACTTACCTTATTTTTGCTCTGACCATAGACCCATCCTCCTTGCTAAGGATAAGGTTTATAAGAGTGATGACAGGGAGAAACCTTTTAGGTTTTTAGTCTCTTGGATGACTGTGAATAGTTTTGATGAGGTGGTGAAGAGTAGCTGGAATAAAAATTTTGACTGGGTTTCAGCCAGAAACAGTTTTGAGACAAGAGCTAAAGTGTGGCATCAGCAGGTGTATAGACAGATTATTAATAAGAAAAATAAAATCTATGCTAGAATGAGGGGTATTGATAATTACAGGCAGGGCAGGTATGACCATAGCATGGAAATTCTTCAGAGAAGTCTTTGGAGGGAGTTGCAAGAGATTTTAGTGAGGGAGGAGTTGGACTGGTTCCAAAGGTCCAGATGTCAATGGCTTAAGTTTGGTGATAAGAACTCTAAGTTCTTTCATTCGGCAACCATTTCAAGAAGGAGACATAACAAAGTGGTTGCTCTTAGAAATGAGGATGAGAGATGGGTAACTGACAAGGAGGAGCTTATCAACATGGCTGCAAACTATTTTGAGAAACTGTTTGCTCCTGATGATGAGGAGGTTGAGGAGTATCCTGTGAGAGGCTTGTTTCCCACTCTTAGTGATACAGAGAAGGAATTTCTTGCTAGAGTGCCTTCAAGGGAGGAGATCCGTAGTGTGGTCTTTAAGATGGGGAAGTTTAAAGCTCCAGGGCCTGATGGGTTGCAGGCTGTGTTCTTCCAGAATCATTGGAATACGGTTGGGGAGTCAGTTTGCAAGCTGATTGTGGACATTTTTCTGGATCCTAAGAAAGTTAAGGACATTAATAAATCCTTGATTTGCCTCATTCCTAAAAAAGATAGTCCAGAGAATATGAAGGAGTTTAGGCCTATAAGCCTTTGCAATGTGGTGTATAAGGCTGTGACAAAAATTATAACAAAAAGGTTGAGAGAGTTCATGCCTAGGATGGTAGCTCCTAATCAGTGCAGTTTTATTAGAGGAAGACAGAGCACTGATAATATAATCATTGCTCAAGAAACTGTGCATTCCATGAAAGAGAAGAAAGGTAGGAAAGGGTGGATGATGATTAAGGTGGATTTGGAGAAGGCCTATGATAGGCTTAACTGGGGATTTGTAAGGGAGACTTTGGAGGATGTAGGTCTGCACAAGTCCCTAACATACCTGATCATGAGTTGCATTTCATCTAGCACAATGAACCTGTTGTGGAATGGGGGATTGACCAAAGATTTTAAGCCTCAAAGAGGCATTAGGCAGGGAGATCCAGTTTCTCCTTACCTTTTTGTCTTGTGTGTTGAGAAACTGGCACATTTAATTCAATTAGCTGTTGATACTAAGGCTTGGAAGCCTATTTTGTTGAATAAGAATGCCCCTCCTTTGTCTCATTTATTTTTTGCTGATGATATAATCCTTTGTGCTGAGGCTTCTATAGATCAGGCTCATGTTATTAACCAAGTCCTTAAATTGTTCTCTGCTGCTTCGGGTCAAAAGGTCAGTGTGGAGAAGTCTAGGGTGTTCTTCTCAAAGAATGTGGGTCTTAATAGAGCTATGGAGATTAGTGAATGCCTCGGAGTGGGATTAACTAGTGACCTGGGAAAATATCTTAGGGTGAATCTGAATCATAAGAGAGTGTCCAGGAACTCCTTGAGCTATGTGGTGGATAGAGTCCAGCATAGGTTGTCTTCTTGGAAACAAAATTCGTTGTCTTTAGCAGGAAGGATTACTTTGGCCAAGGCTGTGTTGGAAGCACTACCAGCTTATACAATGCAAAGTACTGATGTGCCTATCAGTATTTGTAAGGAAGTGGAGAAGATGACTAGGGGTTTTATTTGGGGATCAAATCGTAGCAAGAGAAAGGTTCATCTTGTTAGCTGGGAGAATGTTTACAGAGTCAAGGAGGAAGGTGGCCTTGGCTTGAGAGATCAGAAATTGATTAATCAAGCTTATGCTATGAAGATTGGCTTTGGGGTAATGATGAATCATGATACTCTATGGGCCAGAATTCTGAGATGTAAGTACAAGGTAGGTGCTGAGTTAGTTCCAATGTTAAAGGAAGGAAGATCTAACTCGAATGTTTGGAAGGGAGTCTGCAGAAGTTGGAAGCATGTTCAAGATGGAGTGAGAATTCATATTGGGAATGGCTGTAAAACAAAATTTTGGTGGGACAAATGGGTGCCTAAGATGGGAAGGTTGATTGATAGAACTTCTGAGTCCATCCCTGAAGAAACAAGTAACTGGTTGGTTGGGGATTGTGTCAATCAAGCAGGTTTCTGGCAATGGCCTAAGTTCAATAAGTTCCTGAATGATGAAGTAATGGAGGCGATTTCTAATATCCAACCTCCTTCTGTTAATGCTGGGGCAGACAAGGTGTGCTGGGATTTGTCTTCTACAGGTACCTTTTCAATTAAGTCTGCTTATAAATCTTTGAATTCTTCTCTAGTTTATGATGATAATAGAAATTGGGCCTTGGCTTGGGAATGGGAGGGCCCCCAGCGAATAAGAACATTTCTTTGGCTACTCATGGGTGAAAAGTTATTGACCAATGATCAAAGGATTCGAAGGAACTTTTGTGATGATGCTACTTGTAGAATATGCCAGGGGGCTGTGGAGGATTGTACTCATCTTTTCAGGGACTGTTGCTGGTCCAGACAGATTTGGCAAATATGTTTTTCTTGGGTTGATATTAGTGCATTTTGGAGTGGGGAATTCCAATACTGGATTGAGAGGAATCTGAATAGGAAGAAGCATAATAAGGAGTGGAGAAGGTTGTTTGGGGTCATATGTTGGCTGATTTGGAAGGAAAGGAATAACATGATTTTTAATGATGTTTGGAAGTCACCCATGGAGTTGGTTAACCAAGCTAAGTCGTTTGTTCATAATATCACTATGTCTGAAAGTATACTGTCTATGGCTGGGATTCAGAATGTTACTAGGGAGGATTTGCAGGTTCATTGGGAGGTCCCTCCTCCTAACTGGATTAAGATTAACTCCGATGGGGCTTGTGCTGAGGAAGGGATCAGGATGAGTTGTGGGGGTGTGGCAAGGAACTGCTATGGGGAATGGATAGCTGGGTTTTCAAAGAAACTTGGTAGTGGAAATGTCTTGATGGCTGAATTGTGGGGAGTTATCCTGGGCTTGGAATGGGCTTGGGTGCAAGGATATCAGCAGCTGATCATTGAAGTGGACTCTATGGATGCTTATAACGTGATCTTACAAGGATGTGTGGAAGCTCACCCGTGCCACATGCTGATGCTTAGGATCAAGGAGATGATGGGGAGAAGCTGGCAGGTTAATGTGTTGCATGTTTATAGAGAATGTAATAGAGTAGCTGACTGGTTGGCTAGGCATGCTCATAGATTGGATTGGAATACTATTTGGTATAGGGAACCCCCTGATGGTTGTAGGGGTTTTTTGTTAAGTGATAGTAGGGTTGGTGATGCCCAGGATGTTGGGTAATTAGCGGTCGGTTGTTGTTTCTTTTCAGTATTATTCAAAAAAAAAAAAAAAAATGTCGTTTAGTGAACCTGAAACACTAGTATCACAAATATTATATGTTTGATTGATCTTTTGTTGGACAATGATGTGTAATTTATTATTTTCATATTAAAATATTTGAAATTGATATATATTTTTACAAGTATTTAAGTATATTTATAGTTTTTTTAATATAAATTGTAGATTTACATATACTTACAGAGTCATGCGGTTGAACCAGTGACCACTGGTTAAACCAACCCACTGGTTGAACGAGTGACCCACTGGTTGAACCAGTGACTCAATGTCCCAGTACCTCGACCGGGTCAATAACCGAGCCGGGTTTAATAACATTGATATTATGTGAGTTTAGACACCACAATCAAATCCAAAATTTTATGCATTTGCTGCATGAGTCCTTCCTCTTATATAGTACTTACTCGGTCTATTCTTAACTTGTGTGAAACTTCACCCAATCAAATTTGGATTCCTCACCATCTCTCCCTCAAGTGTGAGTCTTAGGCTTTGTTTGGGAGTAGATTTTTGGAGGGGAAGGAAGGGAAGGGGAGGGTTTTATGAATCTCTTCCCTTGTTTGTGAGTTTAAAAAAATGGGAGAAGTGAATTAGAGATTTTTGCAAAACTCTTCTCACCCTTAAAATTAAAGTTCCCCCAATTTGGGGGTTTAAGGGAGGAAATATTGAAAATTATTTATTTATCTTTAGTATTAAAATGTAAAAACTACATAAATATGAATCATTTTTTAATGCGACATTATTAGAAAAGTCTCAAATACTGACAGAATTTATCGATGAAAAATATTTCGTCAAAAATAGTGACAAAATTTTTGACAAAAATCACGTTACGTCTAAAATAGAGATGAAACAAGATTTGACCATAATCACTGACGTAAATTTTTTCGAAAAAAAATACAGTTAAATTTTTTGATAGAATCTAAATTCCGTTGAAACTTTCAACATAAATATTTTCGTCAATCTTTTCAAGAAAATAATTTCGTCAAAATTTTTCATGAAAATACTTTCGTCAAATTTTTTTACAAAAAACATTTCCATCAAAATTTTAAAAGGAACACATTTCTAGTGAAAATTTTCGATGAAAAATATTTTTGTAAAAAATTCTAATAGAAATTTTTTTTTTTCGAAATTCTTTACGAAATCTAAATTCCGTCAAAATATTTGACGAAAAACATATTCGTCAAAATTTTTAACGAAACACATTTTCATTGAAAATTTTTCGTAAAAAATTTTAACAGAAATTTTTTTCGATAATTCAAAACATTTTTGAAATTTTCGATGAAACACATTTTCATCGAAATTTTTTTTTAGAAAATATTTTCGATAAAAATATTTCTATCAAAATTTTCAACGAAACACAATTTTCGTCAAAAAAATTACTACGAAAATTATTTTCGTAAAAAAATTCGACGAAAAATATTTATGTAAAAATTTCGACAAAAAATATTCCATCAAAATTCTTTACAGAATCTAAGTTTCGTCGAATGTTTCACTGAAACATTTCTCTCAAAGTTTTTGAAAAAAATATTTGAGTAAATACCATTTTTGGTTTCTAACAAAAAATATGGTTCCCACTTTAGTCCCTTACAAAAAAATTAGTCAATTGGTCCCTAACAAATTCAAAGTGGACCCATTTAGTTGAAATTGTGGTCCCTCACAATTTCAAAAAAGACCCATATTAGTTCCTCAAAAGGACTAAAATGGGTCAACTTTGAATTTGTTAGGGACTAACTGACTAATTTTTTTTGTAAGGGACTAAAGTGGGGACCTAGTTTTTTTTAGGGATCCAAAAGGGTATTTACTCAGGATATTTCCATTGAAATTTTCATTGTGATACATTTTCATCGAAGATTTTGGATGAAAATTTTTTCCTCAAAAATTTTGAAGGAATTCTTTTTTCCGTCAAAGCTTTTGATGAAATTTTTTTTGTTAAAAATATATAACAAATTATTTTCGTCAAAACTTTTGACGAAAATTAAATTCTGTTGAAAAATTTGATAGAAAATTTATTTTTGTAAAGAATTTCATCATATAAAAATTGCATCGCCTTTCGATGAAAAGTATTCAAACGAAAAAAGTAATTTTTTTAAAAAAAATTTGTTGTTTGCAACATAGAATTTTCGTTGAAAATATGATCTTTTTTAGTAGTGTGAAAAAAACATAAATAATTTTGTTTAGAAATTTTAAATTTAATTTTATTTGTAAAATATAAAAATTATATTAATTTTAGATAAAGGTTAAAATTGTAAAAATATCTCATTGACCCTCCAATTACTCTCTTACCAGTTACCATTTTTTAACACCCAAATAAGGGAAGAGAATACCCTCTAATTTCCTTCCCTCCCTTCCCCTTCCTCCCTCTTGGATCCCCTTCCTTCCTTTTCCCTCCAAACTCCCAAACAAAGCCTTAGGCTTTATTTAGGAGTTGGTTTTAGGAGGGGAATGAAAGGAAATGGAGGGTTTTAGAAAGTCATTCCCTAGTTTGTGAGTTTAAAAAAATGAAGGAAAGGAATTTGAAATTTTTACTAAACCCTCCAAAATCATCTTTCATCTTAAAATTAAAGTTTCCCTAAATTGAGGGGTTTCAAGGGGAAAATATTAAAAATTACTTATCTACCCCTAACATTAAAACGTGAAAACTACATAAATGTGAATCATTTTTAAATGGGACATTATTATAGAAGTCTCAAATACTGATAGAATTTATCGACGAAAAATATTTCGTCAAAAATAGTGATGAAATTTTTGATGAAAATCATGTACTTAAAAAAATTTCTGCCAAAACTAAAGACGAAATTAGAGACGGAACCAGATTTTGCTATAATCAGTGACATAAATTTTTTACGAAAAAAAAATATTCAGTCAAAATTATTGATAAAATCTAAATTCCGTCAAAACTTTCAACGAAAATATTTTTATTCAAACTTTTGATGAAACACGTTTCCATAAAAAAGTTTCGTCTTAAAACAATTACGTCAAAAGTTTTTACAAAAAACATTTTTTACAAATTTTTTCTCAAAAAAATTCGACGAAAAATATTTTCTTCAGAATTATGACTAAAAACATTTCTATAAAAAAGTTTGAAGGAAAATTTTTTTTGTCAAATTTTTTTACAGAATCTAAATTTCGTCAAAACATTTCTCTCAAAATAATTAACAAAAAAACATATTCATCGAAATTTTTGACAGAAAATATTTCTTTCAAAATTTTCAACGAAACACATTTCAACTGAAAAAATTTTACGGAAAAAAATTCCATAAAAATTCTTTACATAATTTAAGTTTTGTCTAAAGTTTTCGACAGAAATATTTTCGTTAAACTTTTTGACAAAAAATAATTCTGTCGAAATTTTTAACGAAACTCATTTCCACCGAAAATTTTTGACGAAAAATATTTCTACCATGTTTTTTGATAAAACACATTTCCATCAAAATTTTCTGCAGAACACATTTCTGTCAAAAAATTTCGACATAAAATATTTTCGTAAAAAATTTTAACAAAAAAAATATTATGTCAAAAATCTTTACAAAATCTAAATTTCGTCGAAAGTTTCGAACGAAACATTTCCCTCAAATTTTTTGACAAAACAATTTCCATCGAAATTTTTGTCAGAACACATTTCCATCGAAATTTTTAATGGAATTCTTTTTTCGTTTAAAACATTTGATGGAGGAAATTATTTTAGTCAAAAATTTGACGAAAACTAAATTTGGTCAAAAATTTTGATAGAAAATTTATTTTTTTGAAAAATTTTATCAGAAAAAAAATTTCCTTCCTTTTTGACGAAAAATATTCTGACGAAAAAATAATTTTGTGACAAAATTTTTGTCGTTTGCAACGTAAAAAATTCGTCAAAAATTTGATCATTTTTAGTATTGTGAAAAGTACATAAATAATTTTGTTAGAAATTTTAAATTTAATTTAATTTGTAAAATTTAATAATTATATTTATTTTAAAAATAGGGTAAAATGGTTAAAATATCTCATTAACCCTCTATTTTCCTCCCTTACCATTTTTTAACTCCCAAACAAGGGAAGGGAATACCCTTCAATTTCCTTCATTTCCCTCCCCCTTGGATCCCCTTCCTTCGCTTCCCCTCCTTCCCTTACCCTCCAAACTCTCAAACAAAGCCTTAGGCTCACATTCTTTCCCTCTCAAGGAGAAACTTCTTCGAGTATTCATGGGGTTCATCAATGCTCAACTTCTCATCAAGACATTGACTCTTCCATCAAGGATTGGCTACACTTATTAAGACGTTGGGTTCCTATATCTTCAAATACTTTAACCACCACAGGTCAATCCACTGTTGACTCTGATACCACTATTGTGTCTATGAGCCCTACACTTAACAACCTGACTTTCACCAGCATGGCCTGTGAAAGAGTTGATGAACAATAAATCAAAAATTAAAACAGAGATAGGAAGAACAGAGAACACACCAAAACTTTTAACGTGAAAAATCTCTTCAATGTGAAGAGTAAAAACCACGAGATCAAGTCCAAATATTGTCCACTATGAATAATAGGATTACAAGATTCACTCTGGCTCAATAATCAGAGGACTTCACCCTCTAAAGCAAGGTTCCTCGCACAAGTGGTTCTCTTTGTAAAAAGGATAAGAATCCTACTCTGCAGGATTTTCTTCTTCTTCATCATGGCACTAGGTTTATTTCTCAAAGGATTTTCATCTCTGGATTGTGCATTTCTCTTTTTTGTGTCTATCTCTCTTTCTAAGAAGTGGCGGCTGAACATCTAAGCATCTCTTATACATAAACAAGAGAATATAGCATCCATCAAATGGATCGGGTCCATCATGGGCCATGGACCCAACAAATCTCCCCCTTCGTGCCTCTGAGGGAGGATGTATGTGCTCCCTTTCATCCAGGGTATGGGGTCATTGTAGTCAACCAGACACCTTTACAATAATTTTCAAACTTCCATGTTAGAAT